ACAGCAGGGGAAACTCAAAGTGGGTAAGGGACATTTGGGAATGTTCAATACTAATTAAAATTATTCTAAAATTAAAAATCTATTTAAAAGATAAAGGTTTTAGAGAAAAATATTTGTGATGAAAAATGGGATAAACATAGATTAGACATCTCAGAAAAAGGGATTAGTAAAATCGAATACACACATATATTCATAAAAACTACACATTCATAAAACTATACTATTCATAAAAAATACACAGAGGGAAAAAAGACAGAAAAAAATGAACAGAGCCTCAATTATCTGTGGGGCAATTTCAAGCAGCCTAATACACATGTAACAGCAGTCCCTGAAAGTAGAAGGGGCAGGAAAATAATTTGAAGAAATAATCGTCATAAACTTTATACATTCTTTTAAAGATTTATTTATTTATGCATATAAGAACTGGGGTACAAGCAAGAGGTGTGGGTGGTAAGAGGATTCATCAGAAACAGAGTAGGGAACAGAACAGGCAGACAGACTGAAACACATTGCTGAGGGGAGCAGCTGACGGGTCAGGAGAGGTCTGTAGCACCATGTGGGTCACCTCCCTGTCTGGGGATCTGGATAGCTTCATAGTGCTGTACTTTAACCCCTTGTGCCACTAGGAAAGCCCAGGGTGCAGGGGCAGTGAGAGGATTCACCAGAGACAGAGTGGGAAGCAGAACAGGCTGACTGATGAAGCACACTGCTGAGGGGAGCAGTGGGCGGGTCAGGAGAGGTCTGCTGCTCCATGTGGATCACCTCCAGGGCGGGGATCAAACTCATGTTGAAGTGGCTTTAGCTTCTTAGTGCTGTGCTTTAACCCACTGCACCACCAGGGAGGGCTCCCAATTTTCTAAATTTGATGAAAACTTTAGGGCCACAAATCTAAGAAACTCAATGAACCTCAAACAGGAAATATGAAGAGAACTACACAAGGGTATTGCTTACTTAGCTTACTTGCTTATTGCTACAGTTAGCAATAAAGAAAATGTCTTCAGAGAAGCAAGAGAAAACAGCATACAGGGGAACAAAGAGATCAATTACAGAAGTCTTTTATCAGAAGCAATATAAACCAGAAGATAGCAGAGAAAAATCTCCCCTCAGCAGTGTATTTCAATGCAGCTGCCTATTCTGCTCCCCACCCTGTCTCTGGTGAATCCTCTCACTGCCCCTGCACCTCTGGCCTGTACCCCAGTTCTGAATGCATAAATAAAAAAAATAAATCTTAGGGGAAAAAAGCGAAATATTAATCCTTGAAATGGTAGAAAATATTTGCAAATAATATGTCTGATAAGGGTAGTCTATAGAATATGTAACTCTTACAACTCAACAACAGATGTACAAACCAAATCCATTGGCAATGGATTTGAATAGATCTTTCTTTTAAGATTTATCCATGACCAAAAAATATGAAAGGATGTTCAAAATCATTGGACATTAAGGAAACATAAGTCAAAATGAAATACTTCATACTCATTTGCATAGATGTAGTTTTTAAAAGGTGGGGGGAGGTTAAAAAATTGTTGGTGAGGTAAAAAGTGTTGGTGAGAACATGGAGAACTTAGAACTCTCATTTCATCATTGCTGGCAGGAATGCAAAGTGGTTCAGCTTCCACAGAAGTTTGGTGGTTCCTCAATTTGTTAAATAGAATTACCATGTGACCCAACACCACTCTTGAGTATACTCTTAAGAGAACTAAAAACTGGTGCTCAACACAAAAGTTGTACAAATATGTCTGTGGTGGGACTATACTTAAGAGTCAACAGGTAGAAACAACCCAAATATCCAAAATGGATAAACATGGAATATCTGTACAACGGAATTATTATTTAGCCCTACAAGGAATGAAATACTGAAAATGCCCTGCTGTGATGAATCTTGAAATTATGCAAAGTAAAAGGAACTAGGCACAGAAGGCCACATAGTGCATAATTCCGTTTATATGAATTACAGAATAGCTAAATCCAAAGACAGGATGTAGGTGAGTGATGGTTAGGGGCTGCCAGCAGGAGTGGAATGGATAGTCACTGTTTCATGAACACAAGTATTTCCTTTAGAAGCGATGAAAATGTTCTGGAACTTGATAAGCAGTGATGGTTGTACAACACTGTTTAAATTCACCACTTAAAAATGGTTAAAGTGAGGGCCCTCGCTGGTGGCGCAGCAGGTTAGAGCACAGCACTAAGAAGCTTAAGCCACTTCCGCATGAGTTTGATCCCTGCCTGCCCCGGAGGAGATCCACATGGCGAGGCAGACCTCTCCTGACCCACACTGCTCCCCTCAGCAGTGTACTTTGTAGACCTGCCTGTTCTGTACCCCACTCTGTCTCTGGTGAATCCTCTCACCCTCTGCATCTCTGGCCTGTACCCCAGTTCTGTATGAATAAATAAATTTTTAAAAAAATGGTTGAAGTGGTGAATTGTTATATGAATTTTACTATCATAAAAAAAGCAATTGCCCTAAGTCTATTCTTTCATTCAGCTATCAAACATTTGTTGAACAGTTCCAGGTAAGCTTTATTCTGGCTGTAGTTAATACAGAGGATATTCAGATGTGGTCTTGGCTTTCGAGGAGTTCATAGGCTGGTAGAAGAGGAAAAACATTCCGCAAGCAATTAAGTTGAGTATTCTAGTGACCTTGACATGAGAATCTGCATTGCACCTGGGGGGTAGCTGTATCATCTGGTGGGGTAGAGAGGCAGTTATCAGCAATGGAAAGTCTGAGGCTTGAGTGCTGGGTGGGAGTCTGCCAGGTTACTGGTAGCAGGGAGGGAGTCTTGGCAGCAGAGATAACTTGAGTAAGCACCAAAAGTCGGGGCCAGAGAGCCTCTGGTTTTCAACAAACTCCAAACCATAGAGCACACCTGCATAGAGTGCATCTGTAGTAGTGCAGAGGATGGACTTCAGGACATGGGGTAGCAGGTGGGGGCCATATTATGCAGGGACAGTAGCTGACACTTAGAAATATTAGAATGATATACACCTGGCTGCACTTAAGGGTCAAAGTTAGTGTGACTCCATCACTGGGCCAGCTGGTGACTGGCTGGTACTGCTAGTCCCCAATGGACAGTGTTCAGGGACATGATCTAGAATTTATATTCCCCAACTTAAGTATTCTATTTTAAATTATTTTATTTTGCATTTGAATCCTACTTTTCCTTTTCTTGGGCTGCCTCTGTTTTCCTGTTTTAAGTATGTTGCTATGGAAATGTCATGACACAGTATAGCAGCATTTACAAGTGAAGTGTAAAGGATTTTCAGAACATCTAGAAACACAAGTCTAGGGCTTAGGAATATAAGCCTTAATGATGTGATAGCATTCAGGCCTTCAGACATGGTGTCCCAAATACAAACACACCCAGAAATTTGAGACAACATAGAGGAGATAGTTGAGAACTTTATTAGGATTTATGTGCCCAGATTTTTAAGATGAGAAATATTAAAAACACAAAACACACTTCTTGGGAAGAACATCTGGAAAAAAGAAATGACAAAATGCCAGCTTATACTTATGAAAAACACATCTGGAAGGACCAGAGGCCTGGATACCCCAGGGAAACTTGGAAAAACCTTTGTACCACTTCCTATGCCATAAATATGTTCTCTAAAAATTGCATGCAAATCAACTCTTGGTAAATCATACTTATCAAATGTAAGGGTGCCTGCTACTTTAACAGTATGTTAAGGAAGTATACTTTAGGAAATTATTACCAAAGGAGTAATGGGAAAAAAACTCATGGGACTGAGTGAAATTCAAGGTCTTTCATTATTATCCTGCTTCTGCCATTAAGACGTGTGATTCAAGAAAATTCACTCAACCTCCTGGACCATTTTTTTTTTCCATCAAATCTGGGTTGTAATTTTGAATTTTCACTTATTTGGTTTTTAGAGCAAGGATACTGGGCCACAGCCCAAGGTCCAGTTTCTTCTGAGAGGCACTACTGTAGAGTAAAGCCTTGTGGACAGAGCGTGGAGCCCTTTTAAATAAGAGGAGCCAGGGTGGTACAGCCAGCAGACCCCCGACCCCTGATCTGTATACTGCATCTTCATACAGGACTTTCTCATTCTCAGTCACCTAAGGGTGATGATTCCAACCTTTTTGATTTCCAAGCTCTTTAGAGCTGTCCTTCCGGAAAGAATGTTGCTGGTAGAAGCCTAGTCTTGGTGGTCTTTCTACTGCTGGTTCCTTCCCTAGCCCACGGGGAGTGAGTGGGGGGTACCGCCAAAGGGCAAGGGCTGTACCTTCTGTGCCCAGACCCAGGTCTGAGGGAATTCAGTATGACTATTCATTTGATGTTTTTGAAGGGGCACACTGAGGCAGAGATGGGTGTGGGGAAACACCTGAATCGTAGGGCTCAACTTTTGGCTGCTTCTTTAAATATTTCTGAACTTTCTAATTTTTATGATGGACCAAAAAAGCCTCACAAAACACAAGCTTTAAACACTTTCTTTCTTGGCTTTCTGTCAATGTTCTGACGTTCCTTAAATAATGCAAACTTTGCCCTGTTCTCCAATGTTTGGAATAGGATATAGGCCACTCACCTTTTCTATTAGAGAAAGTCAATAGTCTCCTAGTCTCTTTTGCTTAATAGCAATGACACTAGGCATTTGTCTTTGTGGACCTAATGCCTGCCATCTAGACCTAGGCAAGGAATCCTGCCAACTGGCTTCAAAGAAAGGCTGTCAGTGTTTACACTGTTACTACATTCAATTATCTGCCATGCAGGAAGCACAAAACCTAACTGTAAGAATTCTTCTGCATTCTTAAACAGCACATTTTGTACTTTTTTTTTTTAACATTTATTTATGTATATAAAACTGGGGTACAGGCAAGAGGGACAGGGCACAGGGAGCAGAACAGGCAGACCGATGGAAGTACACTGTTGAGGGGAGCAGCAGGCCGGTGAGGATAGGTCAGCTGCACCATGTGGGTCACCTCCGTGCCGGAGATCGAACTCACGCTGAAGCAGCTGCGTATCACTTGCAATGCTGTGCTTTAACCCCTTGCACCACCAGGGAGGGCCAGAATTCTTCTGTATTCTTGGAGCAAAAATAAGTTTAGGCCTCATTAACTGGCCAGACACAGAATGCAATGGGTCAGGCTTTTTGCCAATTACTACGGATTTGTAGAGTCATTCAGGAGCTGTTAGGAATATGAAAGCAAAGGGATCACCATCTATTTAGTACCATATGCCAGGCCCTGTGCTGCCAGCTCATGTACTCTGTTTAATGTAATCCTCACATCTGACCGTCACTATCTAACATCTGTATTTTTACTCATTTTTCCTATTTTTTGTCTGTCTCCCCCACTTAGGGGTATGCCCATGTGAAAGAACATTTTCTTTTGTCTTGTTCACTGCTACATCCTCAGTCCCTGGGACACTTTCACATACCCATACGCACTCAAGAAATATTTATGGAATGAGGAAAACAACTCTATGAGGAAGGAATTACTATTCAACTTTTATAGGTAAGAAAACCAAGGCCCTCAGAGGGCACAAATGAACTCCACAAAATTGCATGGAGGAGAACTAAGTTTCTTTCTTTCTTTCTTTTTTTTAAAGATTTATTTATTTATTCGTACAGAACTGGGGTACAGGCCAGAGGTGCCGAGGGTGAGAGGATTCACCAGAGACAGAGTGGGGAGCAGAACAGGCAGATCTACGAAGTACACTGCTGAAGGGAGCAGCGGGTGGGTCAGGAGAGGTCTGCCTCGCCATGTGGTCACCTCCGGGGCAGGCGGGGATCAAACTCATGCGGAAGTGGCTTAAGCTTCTTTGTGCTGTGTTTTAACCCGCTGCGCCACCAGGGAGGGCCCCACTAAGTTTCTTTTTGTTGTCTCTTCCACAGACCAAGTGACATAGCCTTAGATGCAGATTAAGAAGAGCTCTTCCAGCTTGACAAATCTTCAGTGTACATGCCTACAGAACATGTATTTCTGTTGCGTGCTCATTTGGAAGTTGGAAATTTTACCAAGCAGATATATTTGGTAAATATGTTTATATTTTAATAAACATTTTACTAAAGCAACAATAAAGTACACATTTTCCCCAGCACAATTTCATCTCCTGACCTGCATTATCTACATCATTTCACACTTCAAAATTCCCTAACATGATTACTCTTCAGAAAGAAATAAAAAGAACCGCAACTCTGGCCACCAAGAAAATAACATTTGCGATGCTTAGAGTTAAGTTACAGCATTAAGATGACTAACGCTATGCACGCGGTATTCTCAAGCAACGTACAAATATCCCCATGTATATCCGTGCTGCTTGAGAGTCCCAGTATGTGAGGAGGCAGACTTGGCACATAAAAAGCCCTTCTTATCCTAACGAAATTATATGGAAAGCTCAAGGATTCTTCAGAGAGCCAGCTGTAATACAATCCATCTTGAGAATATTCCTTTTGTATGAGAGAATGTAAGAATGAAATCCAAAGGCTAACTGTACCCAAGGGAGTATTTCATCTCCTTTCCCATTTCTCAGGATACACTTGACTCCACACACTCCCACCTACCTGGGATTATACCACAGGAGTAGCCACTCGTGGACTTCTCTGGTCACAGACCCTGTCCCTGGTAGCATTCCTGTCACCAACACTTATTGCACAGTCTCCATGTCCCACCAGTCTTGCCACATGTTGGTGTTGTTTTATTTTGGCAATCAATATGTTGGAGGAATTTTTTTTAAAGAAACAGGAAAATTAAAAAAAAAATACCACAACACGTTACACAGTTAGTTTATCCTTTCTATCATTTTAAAAACATTTCTGAATTATATACACCACTTTGTATATCACTCCTTTTTATTTAACATCACAAGCATTTTGCCATGTGGTTTTAACCCTGCACAAACGTTAATTATCATGGCTGTGTAGTCTATTGTGTAGTCATAATTTATTTGACCAATTTTCTACTGCTGGACTGCTTGATTGTAAAGCATAAATTTGCCCACATTTTAGACTATTTCTTTAGGACAGATTCCCAGAAGTGGAATTAGAGGATCAGAAGATATAAACATTTTTAAAGCTCCTGATAGATACTGCCAAATTGCTTTTCAGAAAGCTGTTGCCAATTTACACTTCCAGCATTGCCAGTGTGTTTTTCTACCAACACAAATCTATCTAAAGCATAATAAAATGTAAATGGAACATACAGTCCTCAAATTATTAATGCAGTTGGAGAGGGATCATGAGCAAGTAAAGAGGCCTGTGGGAAAGGTCACACCTATCTCCAGGTAAGCGCTTTACAATGAGTTAGTGTGAGCACATGGAACAGAAGTTTTGTGAGCATGAAGATAACATAACTAGATTTCGGACTGTCAAATCTAAGATCACTGTCTGTTTTGTCCATTGCTGTGCCTTAGCATATGGACAGTGCCTGGCACATATAGTCACTCAATAAAAATTTGTTAAATCAACACATCTTTCAAGATGCAAGCTTTTCAGCAGCTGTAGGAATCAGTCACTCCTGGGTTCAAGGGAAAAGTAACTGGCTGGATTAAACACTCTACTGAAGGTCTGTTCGGTCCAGAGAGTCTATTTCATTTTAGGAATATCATTTTAATTGAAGGTGACACAGTATGGTTTTTTAGAGGAAAACAAGTAAAAACAATTAAAAGCTGCAAATATATATAGTACAACATATATTTAGAGTCTAAATATAGTATAATTCAGTGAATCTGTCACCTCCATAGCAGTCATTTCCAGAGGTGAAAACAGGCTTCTTCAAATGCTGCCTAAGAGCAAGGCAGTTTTAGAACCACCTTAGTTCATTCTGTTATTGCTGGTTGCAACTTGGCACCATTTGCGGATTTTCAAAGTTGTTCTTGAGCTATGACAAGGGCATGTACTAGGTAGTGGCTTATGGAATATCATTATTTGTAAAAAACAGCATAAAACTCATTTTATGAACCAGAATATGTCAAGGTAAAATAGTCAATCATTCAGCTCTGGCACCATAAAGTTCCCTTCAATATTTCACAATTTCTACATAGTAAATTGTCAGGCATTGCCAGATCTATTTGGCATTAAGAATGTTATTGATGGAAAAAGATCAATGATCTGTCATTTTATATCCACCCTTTATGTACAAGAGAACAGGGACTGGCAAACTATGCCCAAAGACCAAACCTAGCCCACCATCTGTTTTTCCACGATGTAAAAACTAAGAAGTTTAAGCACAGCTTTTCACATTTTTCAAATGGTTGAAAAAACATAAAAATATTTTGTGACATGTGACGATTATATGAAATTCAAATTCCAAAATCCATAAATAAGTTTTATTAGGGGCACAGTCAAGCTCATCTGTTTCCATAGGAGCTAGGTCTGCAATAAAATATTGAGTAGTTACAACGGAATGTATGGCCCACATAGCTCAAGACATTTCCGTTACAGAAAAAGTTGCTGACCCATTCACTACGCCCAAGTGGGTCCCTAGAAGTACTGGTTTCCCACCATAGAATTTTTGTTTCTGGATATTAATACCAGGAAAAGGGGAATGCATTGGAGACAGTGTTTGCAAGGACTTGACAAGGCAGAGGCTGGAGAAGACAAAGTGTGCCTCAGGTAGCATATAAAAAGCCTGGAAAAATCTGGGAGGTCTGACCCAATAAGAACAGGTTAGAGGATACAGGGTTACATACACAACAAACAGGAGTTTTTACTAATTGAGCCACCGGGCACCCCAGGGAGACTCAGTGCCAAGGAGCCTACCGAGAACTGGTGACAATGATACCTGCATATAGCAGGCTGCCTGGGCAGGGTATGTGGTGCTGTGACAGATGATTCCCCAACAGTACCCCACTCCTGTAAGATGTCAAGTCATCAGCACCCAGCTTTAGCCAAGTTAATGCAATGGCAACTTTGAACTCCAAATCACCGAAAAACAGATCTGAAAAGATGGCTTAGAAAACAGCTCTAGGTAGGTTTCCCCCTAATTACACTGTTAACGGTAATTGATATGGAAAAGCTTTTTGAGTATTGTCAGACTTAAAAAATAGCCGATCGAGTCATATTAATAAGAATGTTCTGCTTTTGGATAGTGGTGAAAACCCGAATCTTTGAAAAACTTTCCTGAGTCCTGAGTACCAGAGATTACCAAACCTCTCCTTAAGAACTGGTAACACTGATTGCCTCTGGGAAATGGAACCCATGGTGGCCAAAAGCAGGATTTTTTTTTTTCCCTTCCTGTATTCCCTTTTATAAAATAAACCAAGAAAGCTTTCCCCCACATCACCCCAATCAGTTTCATAACAGGAAGGCAGGGCTAGAGAAGACAACTTCCTGAGTTCAAGAGGAGAGCTGGGAGAGGTGTCCAAAAATCAGAGGAGAAAGGTGTCACCGGGTGGAAAAACACCAGTGTCTAAAAATAGCTATTGGAAGAAGGTGTGGCCCAGAGCCAGAAAACAAAGCACCAGAGGAGTAAGAGCAAACAGGTGGAGAATAAACTGAGAGGAGCCTGAGAAAGGTCAAGGACAAGAGTCGGCTGCAGGATGCATGGCAGGATCCCTTGGGCTACACCGGCAGGAGCCCAAGAGGCTTGGGCTGCTACATGCAGGCCCAGTAAGAAACCAGGTTTGGGGGGTGGGACCTTAGCGGTGCTGTTCTGTAAGAGCTCTTTCGTTTGCTCTGGTGCTAAGCAGCCATGTGTGAATGGTTTGCTCTGGATGAAGTCTGGATAGTAATTTTGCTTGCCCCAAATCCAGGGTTTATTATAATGTCACTGAATATTTTCTGAGAACCTTACAAATGGGCCATGAGTTCAGGTAGTCGTTCAACTTACCTGAGTGGCAAGATAGTAAATCTAAGATCTAAGGTAGTCAATCAAGTCTTTTTCATTCTAGCTACTTGGATTCACTCCCTATCACCTGCTTCCTGTAGCTCTGTGTTAGCCCTGTCTGGTACCCTACACTCCATCACAGGCTTTGGCATCTTTGGCAGGGTTAGTCAAGGTCTGTTTATAGGACAGTAATAAATGCAGAACTAAGTACTCTCAGGACCTTTGTTCTGTAATGTGTTGGAAAAGAGGTCTATAGGTAGGATGCTGGTGTAGGCCTGGCCCAGAATTATATAGCCTGGCCCAGAATTATGAGCCCGAGTAAGGATTACTGTGAGGTTCTGCTGCAACGTTGCAATAGCCAGAAGTGGGGGACTTGTTCCAGAAGTACAGTGTCCCTGGTGGTTAGTACTTATGGGAAAACTTGCACCTCACCTTGTTTAAGAAGTCATATTGGTCCTGAAATGGAATGCCTGGAAATTGCTAAGTAGGTAGAAGTCTGTTAGCTATTGCTTAGCTTAAGAGTATTCTTGCATAGTAACTTTGATTTGTGCCTCAAAACTGACAGGTATTAGTGAAGAACATGTGATTTACCAAAGTGGGTATAAAGTGAAGGAACAGAACTAAAAGTATCTTTGTTGACTCTACTATCCACCAATATTGTTTACTTCCTTACTAGTTAAATGACAGGAGCGGTTATGGGCAAAAACCCTTGAGTAAAACATAGACATTAGCTAATCCTATGAAAAGCTGTTTCTGTCCACCTCTCACACCCCTCCTGACACCCCGGCCAGGCATTCTGAGATGTTTCTAGTCAGTCGTATGACTTGGTACCTACTTGGGAAAGTTCTGTTCAGTAAATCATGGCAGAAAGAGAGAAAGAGATAAAGGACAGTGAACTTGTAGAAACTGCTTTTTTGGAGGTTTGATTGGAAAATTAGATATTCAAGTAAGAGCATTATTATAAACCTATACACAGACTCAGGGGAAGCAAAAGGTAAACTACTGGCATATAACTGGGAGCAGAGAAGAGAAACTTATCCCAAGTCATTCACCTTCAGCAACACCATTATGCGCCTCTTTGGACTTTGCTATTTTAGCCAAAAATGCTGCTGTCCCACCTGCCTGGGAAGTTTCCCTAATTTCCTAGTCCCTTGTCTCATTCTTCCTTTTGGATTCAGTTCAGAATCACCTCATTCACGAAGTCCCAAAGCCCTTGGCGATCTTCTGTCATAACTTTATACATTGTCAATGCCCAGCAGTGTTCTAAAAACTGCAGGTGCTCACATAACACCTGACAATGCTGGTGTTAGTTACTAAAAACAGGCCACCATCCGGGAATCAGCACACAGGCCACAACTCCCTTAATTTAGAATCTAGTGTCACCTGGTCCTCCTCCCTACACGTCACAATCTGGGTCTGAGTCCCTGGTTTCTATTTCTAGGACCAGATCCTCCTCTTCCAGCAGAGGGGATACCTAAATGACTAGGGGCTCAAAGCACAGGATTAGAATGAAAAAAAGCCCAGGTCTCAGTGAGAGATAGGTCAGTGAGAAATCAGTATTGGTGGCCAACACCTGGGGCCTGAGGGGGGGTCCTTAAATCATCTGGGTTGCAGCAGCCCTAAGTTTTGTTTACTCTATCAGTCAGCATGCCCCTGCCTTTCATGCCACACCTCAGCCCTGACTGTGAAGCAGACTGGAATTGCAGGTCTTCTTTTGGGGTCCTCCCAGAAGATTGGGGTCACGGCACAGAGAGGTCCTGTCCCCACCTCACACAGCCACAAATCCCTGAGGCAGAATGCTGAGACAAAGGAGCAGGGCTGCCACAAGCTAAAGTCTGGGTAGTCAAGAGATCCAAACGAATTAACAGAAATCAAGAACAAACAAGTACCAGACATTAACAGCCAAACGTTCTTCAAAGTTGTGGAGAATGGGAAGGAAGACCGCCCAGGAGTCCCATAAAGAATAAGAAGGATGCCCGTGACATGTAGGAAGGAGTGGTAGAGAGGACTGGAAATAGATGAGCAGCAAACACAGGTACCTAGCAGTGAGTCAGCTTCCTAGTTTGAGTTCACCTATCTCACCAAGGTATGAACCAATCCTGACCTGCCTTGGTGGGCAGGCTTGCTGAAGATGGAGTATGCAGAAGCTGGCTGGCAGAGCAGTGGATTCTGGGGTGGGATACAGACAGAGATGCTTCCCCTCCAGCCTGGCAATGGACACGACTCCAAGTTCCAGAACTTGTTACCTTTTTCTTTAGACAAGAACTAATTTTCCTCGTTTCCTTTGAAAGACCAGACTGAAAGTGAAGTTTTCCACCTTTCGGATCAGCCCTCAAAACACCTGACAAAACTTTGGCTGAAACTTTCCTCATCTTCAAGTTTTCTTTCAAAATGAGTCTAACAGTTTCTTTATCTAAATTTAACTCTTCAGCCATCATCCTCACTGTTAACTGCCTGTTTGAACAAACCAAGTCCTTGACCTTTTGGATATTTTCATCTGTTCGGTGGGTAACAGGACGACCGCTTCGGGCATCATCTCGAACATCTTCCCGTCCTTCTTTAAACCTTTTGTACCAGTCAAAAACTCTGGCCCTTGACATGACGTCACTCCCATAAGCTTCTTTTAAGAGATGATGGGTCTCACTTGCAGACTTGTTCAATTTCACGCAAAATTTGATGCTGATCCTTTGTTCTAGATAGCGGTCGCTCATTTTGCTATTTAACACTGGAACATTAACAGGACACAATGGTGAAGGGAAGACAGAGGACCAATCTCTACAGAGCTGCTGGTGGAATCATGTCGCTGTTTTTGCTCCTCTGGAAGCCTCACCAAGGGGCATTGATTCTGAGCCGCTAATGGGGACAAAGAGTAGCTGCAAAGTCGGGGGAAATGGAATCTGCGACTCAGGTGTGCGTCCAACTCGTGTAAGCAAAATGCCCGGGGTGCAAATCCGTCACCAAGCAAGGTCGTCCCGAATCTACGGCCTTTAAGAGTGTATGGAGACTTCTGCAATAGCGGCCTAAGTGGTGGCTAATGAAGCAAGCAAGAGGAGGCAACGTCGATGCAACGTGCAACCTCGCCCTAGATGTGCAGAAAGCCGCGCACGCCAAACCTACCAGAACAGCTCCGGGCTGGCCCGCTCTAGTCCCGGGAGACACGCCCGCATGCGCAATTCCTCCGCCTCGCTGGGAAGGCCGCGCGCAGGCGCACTGCGGTCACCCGCGCCAGGCCCCGCCTCCAGCTCGCCACACCCGGGAGGCCGCGCTAATTTGCGCGTGCCCGCCTTTGGAGAAGTCGGCGGAAAGGAAGGGGCGGGGGAAGAAGGCAGAGGGAAGAGAGGGCACCCCCGGGCGCCAGGGTGCATTGTGGGAAGGAGGCGGCAGCGTCCCGGGCGGGCGGGAGGTGCACCAGCGGCGGCGGCAGCGGTAAATCCTCCCGGCCGCTCACAGCACTGTGG